TCAAATATGAGAAAATAAATTATCACCCTCAGTCAAGGCTTCATTCACTTTCAAGGGTGAAAAAATCGATTATGAATCATGCCTCCTCTTTTTGAGAACATACTGTTCAATACTTTGCTTGCATTTTTATTCCCATGTATTTATATGCTGCAATAATGGGGCATGTTTGTGTTTATTTTTCTCCATACATCTACTGTGGCAATCATGAACTACTAGTCTACAGGTCTTTGCAGTACAGACACAAATGTGATTACGTGAATACATTATCCCTTCGGACAGAAAACACTGTCCCCGAACGTTCTCTCAGCCTTTGTGTAATTTTTTTATTCCTATAGATAAGGGTGTTTTTTGTATGCTTGGTAGTTACCTGCCAAACAGACCATGAGAAGGTACAATGCAATTTGGACCCTTCCGTCTGTGTCCTACTGACTGATCTTTCACACATAACAATCTCCATGGCAACCAGAGCGGTTGCCATGGCAACTGCCTCCTCACAGTCAGTCCCTCAGCTCGATGTGAGAGCAGTGGCTGCTTGGGTGACAATCTGAGGGAGTAGGCAGGTGTCTCTGACCTTTACCAAGGTCAACCCTCCCCTCCTCTGCTGTCTTCCTCTGTACATCTCTCCTCCTCCTCCTCCTCCTCCTCCTCCTCCTCCTCCTCCCTGCCTCTCGAGGTAAACAACACTCTCCGCTACTGCCCTCAAGCCCCAGAATCCTCCTCCGTCACAGGCTCCACTTTTCCTCCCTGGCATTTCACACACTTCATGAATTCCCACCATCTTTCACTCTTTTGCTCTCAGTTATCTCTCTTTATCCACCCATCTAATCCAGCCTGGCGTTCGTTACATGATAGGCCAAGCAAATAGGTACTCTGACAGCAAATCGTAGAAGCAGTCAGGCAGAATCAGTCATCAGGAGCCAGGAAAGCAAGTCAAGCCCAGTGGCACACTTAGGCAACAAGCTCAGCCCAAACCTCCTCCTCTCTCTTTCTCTTTTTTGCTCTCTCTCGCTCTCTCTCTCGTTCTTTCCTTCCCTAATGCTGTAATGCTGAGTCATAGCTGCCAACCAACACTTCCACGGTGCCAGTCCGAGTGCCAGGACAAACAACTCTTCTTCTGACACTGACTAATGAAACAAACATGCTAACTCTGCACAGACATGACCACAAACACACACACACACACACACACCTGCACATGTGTGGGACCCAGGAGGGCTTTATTTTTTTTAAATGTCTAACTATGATTATGAATAGCATACATTAATAACCAAATAACACACGTGTTAAATGTGACCCTCCTCTGAACTATACCTTCTGCAGTTAATTGATTCAGACTGTAAACATATCAGCAGAGAAGCAACGTATATGTCCAAATGTGCCCAATGTCATTCAAGAAAACAGGAAAGACAAAAGCCAGAATGTGTTTTTACTACCACAACTAATGCAAAGCTGACACATCAAAGAAACTTAACACAATGTCTAACTTTATACATTTTTATGGATTTTGCATGATGGTACACCTGAGGATTAAAGGAACAAAAAGAAACATCTACTCAGTCCTGAGACAATAAGCATTGTCCTTCATTGACAATACGCTTGGCTTCCTTGAGTCTGTATTGAGGCCAGCCTTGGGGTAGCAGGAGAGAGAGACAGAGGGATGTGGGACGCAGGTGTGGAGGATGGAAACGGACATTATGTGACACTGCAATGTACCTGCAGCAAAGATGGCTAGACTACTAATCACAGAGCTATTTCTTAGATTTTAAGCAGCTTGGTGTACTCTCAAAGGATGGACATGGAGACCAGGTATGGAAGGATGAAGAATGAGAGTGATATTGTATTTTTGTTTACAGTGCCACTGCAATGTAGACACACTGAGCAGAGTTAATAAACTCGGTGCCTTTATCAGTTTTCCTCTTCAGTGGATTTATGTATCATTTATGTATGCGAACACCCTCACCAATATTCTGTTTTTCTCAAAGCCACTGTCAAAATCCCCCTTTTCCACATAAATTCAGTATATGATGAACTAGTCCCCATGTAGTACCTTTTAAGATGCTTCTTTATAAACACCGTTACTGAAGTAAGCAAATAAATGAGTTTATAATGCATGCATAGATGTAACAATAACACTTGTAGAGTCCACAACATCTATCCAAGATGGCCACTGCCAGGCCTTCTTGCCCTCTGCAAGCTCTCTGAGCCCTACCTGGTCCCACCAGCCAATGAGCCAGGGCCTGGAGCAGGTCTCACAGAACAGGTCCACTAAGGGCGTCCTGCGCTCCGCCGCCGTCCCACTCCCATCCAGAACCCCCCCAGCAGCTGCACCAAGGTCCAGCTCTGCCCCTGCCCTCCCCTGCAGGGGGCTGTAGCTGGAGGAGCGGGGCAGCCTGTAGCCCCCTGGTACAGGTGAGGGGCAGGGGGATGGTGCTGGGTCAATGGCCTCCACTACACCCATGTTGAGGGTGACGGGGGGTTTGGGCCGATGGCACAGGCAGGAGGTGCGATAGTGGAGCGGGGTGGGGGCACTGCGGGTGCCCCAGTGGCATGAGGGCGTCGTCAGGGTGTGCGGGGAGAGGCCACAGCCAGTCAAGCCGGAACACTCCAGAATGACGGCTGCCCCGAGAGGAGACGAAGGAACGGGGGAAGGGGGTGAGGGTAGGGGCTGCTGGTGCAGACTGTCCTTGCCTACATGCAGCACTCCAAAGCAGGCCACCCGGTCAGTCCAGAGTCAGGCTCCAGTCTTAGTGTGGTCCGAAGATCAGGGTCCCCCTGATGGGCAGACCAGGAGCCCCCTGGATCCGGCTGCTGTGGAGACTACATCTCATCCCATTTGCTGGGCAGACTGACCCAAATGTACTGTCACTGCAGGGTAGAGGTGGATGGGAGCCGAAAGAGGGAAGATGGAGGGAAACAGAGAGGGAGAGGGAGCGAGGGACTGTCTGAAGGGCACAGAGAGGAGCCGATGGAGGAGATGAGTGGGAAATGTGAGAGATGTAAACGAAAAAATGATGTTGAGAGAGCTGAGCTGCTCGGCAAACAGTAATTAAAAATTTAGATGATGGAGGTGAGAGTGATGGATTGATGGTGACGCCAGGACAGAAAGATTACCATAGTATCGAATGAAGGAGTTAAAGGGAGCTTGGATGACAACAGGAACATCGGGGAAGGATGAAGGGAGAAGCAGAAGATAATAGCGAGAGAAAAGCAAGGATGGAGTGGATGAGAGTGGCAGTGAGAGAGAAAGAGACAGAGAGGGATGCAGGCAGGCCTGTAGCAGACGGTCAGGCTGAAGAATCACACCAGAGCTGTGGTCTGGAAAAACAGGCTCCCTCTCCCTGCGTCGACTGCCCCTCCCCCACGTTACGGATCCAGAGGGCCGGCCCAGTTCTACCGGTGCATCAGCCCGCCTTTGCCGTCTCACACTGATCCCAGCAACACACTGTCGATCCACAGCCAGTCAGGCTGCCTCCTGATTGCTCCGTAGCCCAGTCCCCTGCTCCAAGTCAATCCATGCCTCAGTTGGCCAAAATGCCAGAGGTCTAATCCTGCCGCTTTAGGCTGCCGTTCCTCCTCCAATGCTCTGCATCTTGCGCCATTTCCCTGGATGCTGTAGACAGCTCTCGCAAGCTAATCAGGCAGTGTGGCTGCAGGCGCATGCATGTGTGTGTGTGTGTGTCTGTGCCTGCTTCTGCTCGCTGTCTGAGTGCGCATGTGCGAAAAGACAGCATGTACGTCTGTCGAAAATATGTGTGTGAGCGAGGGTGTGAGTAAGAGTGAGAGACTGAGTGGGAATATTCATGTGTACCTCCATGTTGGCACAGTGCAGAGGATTTCTGTAGATGAGTTGCGGCTGCTAAAAGGCAGCAACATATTCACAGACTCTGTTTACCACAGGAGACTCTTCTAATTGTAAGTGTGCGCGCACCCCCCCCCCCCCCCCCCCACACACACACAAACACAAACACACACACACAAATTATGTATTTTAAGCAGTCTCCTGTAACTCATTAGAAACATGAAGAACCTTGCCATTAATTTATAATGAAGTGCAACATGGGAAGAATTTATAATATAAAACAAACATGGCACACGTGGCTGTCTCTTTAAGACAGAACACTCTTAAAGGAGCATCACCTCTATTTCATTGGTTGTTTCCCAAACCACGTGGCTTGTGGTCAGAGTGGGAATCCAATGACTAAAAGGGAAGGGCAGACCCTGCTGCTGTTCGATAGCAACCAAGGTTACAGCAGACATCAGCATCAGGGCGCGTACCCCTCCCTCCCATGTCCTCCATATCCAAAGACTGTCATCTTCCCTCCCTTCTCTCTCCCCCTCTCTCTCTGTCGCTGTACCCCCACAAATACAAATTCATGCATACTTAAGAAGCCTGCCCATGTGCACATCTACAGGCGTTTTTTATCTAGTACTGCAAAATGCACACCTGCATCTCTTGCAGTTACGAAAACAAATATGTGTGTCAGTTCAGTCCAACAAATACCACAAAAATCCAGAGATGGTTGGCCACATTATGTATCAGATGCAATTAAAATCTACGCATCAATACAATTGCTACTACAGGGTTGCAAATTAACCCAGGAAACAAATATTTTCAAGAATTACAACTCAAGAATTACAAATCTCTCCAAAATTGACACCATACTGTAGAAAAGGCAGATTAGGGGGGTTTACAATCCAAATGTAAACCCCAAAAGTAAGTGAGTATTACATACTGCTCCTCAATTCACTTTAATAATTTACCTTGGTGGACCTGGATTGTTTGTATTTGTAGAGTGGAAGCTTAAACAGGAAGTTTGATGTATTTTATACACTGAGCGATGCAGCTGCAACCAAATAATCAGTTCTCATGAAGTGATGAAGTCTTCTCGTGAACCATGAAATACACAGTTGTTCATGAAGAAGCTTGGCACCATACTGAGTGTTAACATTGACGTAGAAGGACAGTGGAAGTACAAGTGAACATGTTTGTGTGTGGACAGGTGTGCACCTTGTTGGAAGCCATCTCGCTGACTGAGCGGTGAGTCTGAATGGTCTCCAGCTGGTCCAGACACCAGTCCAGTTCCTCCAGAGTCTCCCGAGCCATCTGCTGGTATGTCTCCTCTGGGAAGAACAGACAGACACACGCACATGCACACACACGCCAACAAAATAAAATAAAAAGTGTGATATGCTACCACTCAATTAATTGCATATTAATTATATTTCAGTACATGCAATAACACTTGACAACAAGTGAAGCAAATTTGTGTTTTCTGATGCTGTATACATGTTTTCATATCAGTAATATTTATTTATGTATTGCACATTAAAATGGGACTACATTTTAGATTGTGATTAGCTGATTGACACAAAAAATTATAATTTAAATTCAAAACATAAGATAGCTTTGAGTCTAAAATTGATTTATGGGCCCTTTAATATGCATATTTAAATAGACAGCTAAAATTTTCATGGATTCATATATAAAAATGTTTTCAGATAATTTGATCTGGTCAGAAATCTTTATAAACACACTAAATTCTGCTTCCTAAGGAATCGCAATTTTTTTTTTTTTTACCTCATTACATTTAGAAACATATGTCTGTGAATAATCACAGCCATCCAGGTCATATGTATCCAAGCAGGGTTAAATCAAGTGCAACTGGACTTGATTGAAGATGTTTCAGCTCTCATCCCAGAGGCTTCTTCAGTGCTGACTGACTGGCAGGGAGTCCCAGGTATGACTTGTTGCGGTTGTTGGAGTCACTTGAGGCCTCACAACCACAACTGTTGTTCCAACTGCAATGCGCACTGACAAATCAAGTGGGATCCAACACCTTGATAATCGACCCCACAGAGGTTAAATAGCTGGGACTCCCTGCCAGTGAGTCAGAACTGAAGAAGCCTCTTGGATGAGAGGCAAAACATCCTCAAGGATCTTCAATCAAGTCCCATTGCCCTTGATTTAACCCTCCTTGGATGTAGAAACAGAACAATCTGTATGGTTAGAAAAGAATTGATTGCGCCACTAATATTAACTGTTAAGATAATAATAAAAATAAATGTTCAGGCACTCTACAGTTGAAACAACAAACTCTGCAGGGTAAATTAAAATAGTTTGGGGCCTTGCAATGCTGCCTGTCCAATGAAATGGGTTACAGCATTTTCTCTCAGTGTCTATAGAGTGAAAATGTCCTTTATACATCTTTGAATGAAAAGAGATTAAACTCTGTCAGCCTTCGCTTTGTTATTTCTAACTACACATATCTTTTGTAGCTTCAGCATTACATGTTGAGTCATTTAAGAGCTATCCAGTCTCTTAAATTGTATGTAGTACAGTTAATTTAAAAAATCCTCAATAATAGCCACATGATGTGCTGTGCTGTTCTTTTCATTACTGATGATGCATTTTGGGGACTGTGAGTATGTCCCTAAATCCTTGTGAGGGGACTGTGGGACTCTATGGGAAAAGAGTTTTAATTAGCTGACAACATACCAGAGAGCGTAGCTTGGGGAACAGTGGGTTGGCTTGTCACTGGTGACCTCCTGTGGACAAACACATCATTACATCAGAGGGCGAACCACACACTGCTGCCCCCTGCTGGGGTTCAACACACTTTCAGCATTAGAGGATGAAGCAACAAAAGGCTTGGCTCACAGGGGGGATATAAATATGTTTATGTGTTATTCATTTATATGCCCCTTAAAAAGAGACAAAGGAAGGAGTGCAGGTCTATATTCAAATGTCTCTGAATATCAAATAACACTGCAATGTGTTAATTTTTAAAATGCATAAAAATTCCCTTGTTTCACTTCAAATATTCAAGTATCCAAAAATAGGCAAAGACAAAGCATGAGCTCTGCTGTCCATTTAAATATCCTTCGTGGTTTCATAATTGTCTAGTGAGGGAGGCATTTTCAGGGCACAACACTGCATAATTATAGATGCAGATAATTCTGTGGTGTGTTCTTTATATATCATATTGACGTGGAGCTAAAAGCCTGCCAAGCTGAGCTCCTTCTGTCTACTGCAATACAAAGGAGAATAATTTTAGTGTTATTGACCGTCTCCATCGTCTGGGTACAGAGTCAGGGACATACATCTGAGGCATGGTGTTCTCTGCATTCAGTCCTCAGCCAGACAGTTGGAGAGATGCCAAATAATGCAGATCATATTTTCCTTGCGCACAGGCTGATAATCATAAACTGGTTAATCATGATGGCAAAAGTCTTTCCCATGGGAGCAAGGCAAAGGAGACATTAGCAAACATACACTGCAAACTAAGTGGGGGGAAGGGGTGTTTGACAGCATGATACTGACTTGTTAGTGGGTGTTGTGACATTGGCGAGGATGGTGAAGTTGCTTCTTACGGTTCGTAGGCTGGCCAACACCTGGGGGATGGATGGACAGCGTAGAAGGGAAAGAAGGAGGAGGGGGGGGGGGGGGGGGGGAGATGTTCACTGCACTAATTAGCCACTTTTTCCTAGTCATTTACGGCAATTAAGCATGTTAAACAAGGTGCAGAAAAAAAAACATACCTGAGCAAAAGGGGTGACGATCATGTCTTCGGCGTGCCTACAGGAGAAAAGATGGAAACAAGTGGAGAATGAGATGAATGTGAGTGGTTTGGGCAGCTGCGGCACTTGGTGTTAGTGTTTATATTAGTGGCTGTATCTGTGAGCTGGATGTTTACAAAGACCTATGTGGATCTAAACAGAGAAATAGTCCTGAAATACACTAATGGAAGGTTTTCGATGGTTTAGCCTTACTGAAAGACAAGCCAGGAAACAGAGCACAACAGTTAATGTTAAGAGGATTCATCATGATTTCATTAGCATAATGATTGCATAATTACAGTCATAATCATTGCTGTGTTGATTGGGATAATTTGCAGTTACTGTGGGGGGGGTGTGTGTGTGTGTGTGTGTGTGTGAGTGAGTGGACACTGCATGTTTCAATTCCGTCTGGGGCGTGATGGATCCAGGATGATGGCTTCATGCTTACCCCTCACTGTTGATTGAGGAGTTGCGTGACATGGTTTTGGGGGATGTGTCGTAGTCTGAGTCTGAGCGGTACAGGAAGGACTCCCTGCGTTGGCTCTGGGGGAAAGAAGGGTGGAGCACCAACCCAGGACTCGCCTGCGAATCCATGGGACTGCGGCCTGGCGAGGGGCCATTCTCCGAATCGAAGCTGAAGGTTTAGAGAGGACAAGGACGAAATTGGGTTTACAATCGTAAATTTAATTTAAGTGTTGTTACCTCCTGTGTCTGATTAAGATAGCCTACCTTGTTTTCTGCCCCTGTGTTTCACATATGTTTAATTACCTGCCCTGTTCTGATTTGTCTGGAACTTAAGACCTAAAGACGTTTACGCTCAACAGCCTGTTTGTTTGAGTTTTGCTTTTGAGTCCATTGTCTGTTGGATCCAGCTGTCATTGTTTGTTTCACTGCTGCTTCTCAATCATCTCACAGTGATAACCAATAGTTGCCTGATAAGCCTGAACACCACAAGCACAAGTGATGGCATCCATCCTCCATTAGTGGTTGTAGTTTCTTTTAGAGAGGAAGATGAAGAAAGAGAGATGTGACAGGAACTACAGCAAGAATCCATGCAGCTGTGACTCTGCTTTGCCGTTGGATTGGCAGAGTGCCACCGGGCTGCCCTGAGAATTACACTCTACTGACAAGTCAGATTTTAGAGCAGGTCGTGTTTAAGTGAGTAAAATGAGCCACAGCTTCTCTCTGGGCCAAAGCTGTCTTTTTTTATTATGAAATCAGTATTGAGACCAGTGTAAAGACCTCTTACACATATAAAAACGGCTTATTCTTACCATCAGAAAACATCAGCAATAAACATAAATTCAGCGTTATTTCTATAGCACTTTAAACACAACACAGTTGATGCGAATCAAAAAACAAAAGAGACAATCAGAGTGATAATAGTAATAACAGTAGTAATAGTAACGAAACATGGGTACACAGAGCTTATAATGACAACACACCCCTACAGAGACTTGAAATGGAAATGCCTGAGCTGGTAAACTTAGGCAGAGTTAAAGGCTGGAGAGTAAAAGTGTGTTTTAAGATGACTCTTGAAAATCTCAATAGTGGTGGAGGAAGAGAACTGTATAGTTTTGGAGCATTGATAGAGAAGGCCCTGTTGCTTTAACACTTAGTCCTGGATCTCAGGACAGACAGAAGTCTTTGGTCAGAAGATCTCCGTTTAGTTCAGTTCATCACTGCATGATATGGACACAGGAGACAAAGTGGATACTGGATATACATCCAACATCCAACCCAAAAATGTTGTGGCAGTGATGAAGCAACATTGTTATTGACCTTTACAGATGTAAATCAACGTCTGTCTGCTCCTTTTAGTTTGGGAACGAAAAACATCTGTCCACAGAATCTGACCATCACACCGACACAAGGCTGAAGCTAACTTTTTCTGAGAAGGGAAGTCAGTTTTACCTTAAAAGGGTTTTAGAGTTTGGGATCATTTAACAAGAAAATGATGGGCAATTTTGAAGTAACAGCACAGACAAATTTATCTGACAATACAAACTACTTGAATTGTTATTATGTTTGTTAAATACTAAAAAGCCATATGTAACAATATGAATCGATAATTGTCACTTTCAGGCTGCAGTCAGATGTTTGGATGACAAGGATAGATAGGGAAACAGGTTGCAGTGTAGCATCTATTTTTAATATAGGATAACTTCTCCACAACACCTCCCCACGCCCGCAAAACTTCTCATACTTTTACTGTCAACATAGTTGTGAACGGCTTTCAGTTTCACCTCTTAAAAAGAATTATGATATTTTTAGGATTTACTTCTAAATTGGCCAATTAGGAGCCACTCTTCTCCCCCAAAGGCTTTGTGAATATGGCTACAGATCAAATTATCATGAAACAAGTTTCCCCAGTGATGAAAAACAAGTCTGCCAGGGGGACCCACGTGCTAATCCCTGTTTTTTTTTCTTTTTATGCAGACTTTGAGAGTAATTATGAGACTTGAGCATTCTGAATTCAGCACTTCCCAAAATGTAATCCATCTGACTAAGGTTATTAGAGTGTGTGCATGGAATAATTTACTCTGAAATCTT